ATTTTTTCCCAACAACGTCGTGTTTTTTTATTCACTCCCGATAAACGTTTGCACACAAGCCTTAAAAAAAAACAGGGGTAAAAATATTCACTTCTGAATAGTTTCAGTTGGTTACAATGTAGAATTGTTTGATGTTGTAACAAAAATATAAAAAGATGTAAAAAAAAGGATGCCATTGAAAAGGCTACAAATTTTACAATCCCTCGAGTCAATAAATATCTGGTCTACAAATTATAAAAATTCCAGATTTGGGGTCTTTAAATTCAATGAATATAATTTTTCAATCCAGGTTGCGTATGATTAATAATAATTGGGTACGCCTGGGCGTATAATTCATAAATAATACGTATACGCCCCAAGTTCTCTGATTTGAGTAATTTTTTGTCCATCGATGCGTATGATTTATATTTTGCACATCCCTGCGTATTATTTTTAAATAACACTCATACGCCTCCCTAGGTTACAAAATGTTAAGTAAATTATTTTTTTTAAATATCAGTCTTTGCTGTGGTTTTTGCTCCCTGCTTTCGGCATGGACATCTGCAGCTGCAAAACAAACACCAGCAACTCTTCATAAAATCTCGTTTTTTTTTCAAGTACTGGCCACACAATTCTGGCCCTAAACACTTTATTAAGGGCACCCTGCTGACAACTGTTGTACAACACATCCGCATATAAGGATAGAGCCGTCCTTCAACATCCATGAAGGGATATAACCCTTTGGTCATCTCACCTCCTGACGCCCCTGTCACCACAACCCCTCAAAGGACTTCGAAAATGTGAACACCCTAAACTTGTGTATAACAGTTTCAGCATGTCCACACAAAATCACATAAGTATGTGTGCATATCCATGCACATGTTGGGCCAACTAACCATTGCATGACGGCCGATCGGTCGGTCGTTCTGGCACAAAAAAAAACAACAGTTTATAAATAATGCACTCTTTATGCATCCATAAACAATTATGAGAGAATTTGTAATAGACAGTTTCACAAAACGTTTTTGAAATGTGCGTGGGTAGGAGGGAAATGTGAAAGGACATACACACACACACACCCATAGACATTAAGAGCTATCAAAATGATGCATATCAACATGGAAAACATGGGTTGGACTGGAAGATAAGCAATTTTCAATTCGATTGGAGCAAAATTGAGCAAAGTTCTGTGGGGCGTATAATTAACATTAATGGGGGACATATGGGCGTATGCGTCTGGTATTAAAAGAAAGTAATCATACGTAGTCATAGACGAAGAAATTTTCAATATTTTTTTAAAGAACTAAAAACGAAGATTTTTTAATGGAATTTTTGGATTGGACATGGATTTTTTAAATAATTTTTCTAAAGGACTTAAGGCCCAATAAACGTGGATTTTTTAAAGAATTTTTCCAAAGGATCAAACGTGGATTTTTTAAAGAATTTTTCCAAAGGATCAAACGTGGATTTTTTAAAGAATTTTTCCAAAGGATCAAACGTGGATTTTTTAAAGAATTTTTCCAAAGGATCAAACGTGGATTTTTTAAAGAATTTTTCCAAAGGATCAAACGTGGATTTTTTAAAGAATTTTTCCAAAGGATCAAACGTGGATTTTTTAAAGAATTTTTCCAAAGGATCAAACGTGGATTTTTGAAATATTTTTTCTAAAGGACTTAAGAACAAAAAACGTGGATTTTTTAATAATTATTCCAAAGGACTTAGGGACCAGGATTTAAGGACCAAAAAACGTGAATTTTTTAAAGAAATGTTCCAAAGGACCAAAAACGTTGATTTTTTAAATAATTTTTCTAAAGGACCATAAAACGTGGATTTTTTAAAGAATTTTTCTAAAGGACTTAAGGACAAATAAAAGTGGATTTTTTAAATAATTTTTTTCTAAAGGACTTAAGGACAAAGAAACGTGGATTTTTTAAAGAATTTTTCTAAAGGACTTAAGGCCCAATAAACGTGGATTTTTTTAAAGAATTTTTCTAAAGGACTTAAGGCCCAATAAACGTGGATTTTTTAAAGAATTTTTCTAAAGGACTTAAGGCCCAATAAACGTGGATTTTTTAAAGAATTTTTCTAAAGGACTTAAGGCCCAATAAACGTGGATTTTTTAAAGAATTTTTCTAAAGGACTTAAGGCCCAATAAACGTGGATTTTTTAAAGAATTTTTCTAAAGGACTTAAGGCCCAATAAACGTGGATTTTTTAAAGAATTTTTCCAAAGGACCAGAAGATCTATAAACGAGGATTTTTAAAGAATTTTTCCAAAGGACCAGAAGATCTATAAACGTGGATTTTTTAAAGAATTTTTCCAAAGGACCAGAAGATCTATAAACGTGGATTTTTTAAAGAATTTTTCCAAAGGACCAGAAGATCTATAAACGTGGATTTTTTAAAGAATTTTTCCAAAGGACCAGAAGATCTATAAACGAGGATTTTTTAAAGAATTTTTCCAAAGGATCAAACGTGGATTTTTTAAAGAATTTTTCCAAAGGATCAAACGTGGATTTTTTAAAGAATTTTTCCAAAGGATCAAACGTGGATTTTTAAAGAATTTTTCCAAAGGATCAAACGTGGATTTTTGAAATATTTTTTCTAAAGGACTTAAGAACAAAAAACGTGGATTTTTTAATAATTATTCCAAAGGACTTAGGGACCAGGATTTAAGGACCAAAAAAACGTGAATTTTTTAAAGAAATGTTCCAAAGGACCAAAAACGTTGATTTTTTAAATAATTTTTCTAAAGGACCATAAAACGTGGATTTTTTAAAGAATTTTTCTAAAGGACTTAAGGACAAATAAAAGTGGATTTTTTAAATAATTTTTTTCTAAAGGACTTAAGGACAAAGAAACGTGGATTTTTTAAAGAATTTTTCTAAAGGACTTAAGGCCCAATAAACGTGGATTTTTTTAAAGAATTTTCTAAAGGACTTAAGGCCCAATAAACGTGGATTTTTTAAAGAATTTTTCTAAAGGACTTAAGGCCCAATAAACGTGGATTTTTTAAAGAATTTTTCTAAAGGACTTAAGGCCCAATAAACGTGGATTTTTTAAAGATTTTTCTAAAGGACTTAAGGCCCAATAAACGTGGATTTTTTAAAGAATTTTTCTAAAGGACTTAAGGCCCAATAAACGTGGATTTTTTAAAGAATTTTTCCAAAGGACCAGAAGATCTATAAACGAGGATTTTTTAAAGAATTTTTCCAAAGGACCAGAAGATCTATAAACGTGGATTTTTTAAAGAATTTTTCCAAAGGACCAGAAGATCTATAAACGTGGATTTTTTAAAGAATTTTTCCAAAGGACCAGAAGATCTATAAACGAGGATTTTTTAAAGAATTTTTCCAAAGGACCAGAAGATCTATAAACGTGGATTTTTTAAAGAATTTTTCCAAAGGACCAGAAGATCTATAAACGAGGATTTTTTAAAGAATTTTTCCAAAGGACCAGAAGATCTATAAACGAGGATTTTTTAAAGAATTTTTCCAAAGGACCAGAAGATCTATAAACGTGGATTTTTTAAAGAATTTTTCCAAAGGACCAGAAGATCTATAAACGTGGATTTTTTAAAGAATTTTTCCAAAGGACCAGAAGATCTATAAACGTGGATTTTTTAAAGAATTTTTCCAAAGGACCAGAAGATCTATAAACGTGGATTTTTTAAAGAATTTTTCCAAAGGACCAGAAGATCTATAAACGAGGATTTTTTAAAGAATTTTTCCAAAGGACCAGAAGATCTATAAACGTGGATTTTTAAAGAATTTTTCCAAAGGACCAGAAGATCTATAAACGAGGATTTTTTAAAGAATTTTTCCAAAGGACCAGAAGATCTATAAACGTGGATTTTTTAAAGAATTTTTCCAAAGGACTTAAGGGCAAAGAAACGTGGATTTTTTAAAGAATTTTTCCAAAGGACCAGAAGATCTATAAACGAGGATTTTTTAAAGAATTTTTCTAAAGGACAAATAAACGTGGATTTTTTAAAGAATTTTTCTAAAGGACTTAAGGACAAAGAAACGTGGATTTTTTAAAGAATTTTTCTAAAGGACTTAAGGACAAAGAAACGTGGATTTTTCAAAGAATTTTTCTAAAGGACCTAAGGACAAAGAAACGTGGATTTTTTAAAGAATTTTTCTAAAGGACTTAAGGACAAAGAAACGTGGATTTTTTAAAGAATTTTTCTAAAGGACCTAAGGACAAAGAAACGTGGAGTTTTTAAAGAATTTTTCTAAAGGACTTAAGGACAAAGAAACGTGGATTTTTTAAAGAAATTTTCTAAAGGACTTAAGGACAAATAAATGTGGATTTTTTAAAGATTTTTTCTAAAGAACCGAAAGACCTCTTAAAGTGGATTTTTTAAAGAATTTTTCTAAAGAACCGAAAGACCTCTAAACGTGGATTTTTTTAAAGAATTTTTATAAAGAACCGAAAGACCTCTAAACGTGGATTTTTTAAAGAATTTTTCTAAAGAACCGAAAGACCTCTAAACGTGGATTTTTTAAAGAATTTTTCTAAAGAACCGAAAGACCTCTAAACGTGGATTTTTTAAAGAATTTTTCTAAAGAACCGAAAGACCTCTAAACGTGGATTTTTTAAAGAAAATTTTCAAAGGACCAAAAATCGTTTAGTAGTGGATTTTTTAAAGAAATTTCCAAAGGACCAAAGGATCTTCTTACCACCCGTATATACTCCCCTTCCCCCTATGTCTGCCTGCATGCCTATGCGAGACAGTGTCGCTATGAATTATGGCTTTCAAATGAGCACGAAAGCGTGGTGCGTGCATGTCCTCTACGTGAACGCACGTATCCTTTTCCGCTGTGGCTCTTTGTGCTTTTGTCTGCATTATCATATAATTTATTTTCGCCAATAATTTCGGTATAAATTTTTCCTTCAATTGACAGACAAAATGCCAACCAATGTTGCTGCCATTGTCGCTGCAAAAATGCTGGTAGTTTTTCAATTTTTAATCAGAGTATTTAGTTTCCTGCCAAAGGACAGAGGTGCATTATCACCATGGCAATGCTGGGTTAGTGTTGCTAACACACGACGCAGGACTTGTGTGTCATTTGGTTAATTTCTGGGTATTTGCCGTAAATCAGTGCTTTGTCAGCTCGGTATTGGGGCTTATATAAATATCCGTTTCTAAATAAAATGCCCTGGCATTTAAAATATGTTCCGACCGGTTTGGGGGAGAATAATTATGTCCTTCGAAGGACAATGTGTGTGTGTGTGTGTGTGTGTGTGTTATGAACGCAATGGACTATAAATATTTAATGTGTAATCACTGCATAAATAATCATCAATGGAGCTATTTTAATTATAGGGCTTTGGCGGGTGGTATGAGTAATTATAAAACAATGGCCACCGGGGCGTATGAGTAACGTCAGTTTAAAAAAAACTAATTATACGACCGGAAAATTGTCATTTTTGTAATTAAATGGACAAATTTAAGGCTGAGCTTAATAGAAATTCAAGTTAAAAAAAAGGTTATCGATAATTTTTTGCATCAGAAAAATTGTTATCGAAAACTTTTTTTTTAATAAAAAATTGTTGTAAACAAAATTTCAATAAAAAAATGTTGTTATCGACAAATTATATTTATATAAAGCTGTTATCGATAGCTTCTTTTATAGAAAAATTGTTATCGATAACTTTTCCTTATAGATGTGTCAATATCGAAATTAATTTAAAGCCTATCGACAACTTTTCTTCATAGAAAAGATGTAATCGACAACTTTTTTAAACTTTTTAAATTTTTATCAAAAATCCTTTTTCTATAGAAAATATGTTATCGATAACTTTTCTTAATAAAAACTTCTTATAGATAGAATTTCATTGTTAAAAATTTGTTATCGATAACGTTTCTTTATAAAAATTTATCGATAGTTTTTTTTATAGAAAAATTGTTATCGATAACTTTTCCTTCCAGAAATGACGATATCAAAATAATTTCACAACATATGGACAATTTTTCTATCAAGAAAACTTTCATAAACGACAACTTACATAAAACAAATGTGGTTATCGACAAATTTTCTTTAGCTGTTATCGATAATTTTTAATTATAATAAAATTTTATCGAAAACTTTCTTCATGGAAAAGTTGTTATCGATAACCTTTCTCTATAGAAAATTTGTTATCGACAACTTGTCTGCATAAAATGGTTGTTATCGACTACTTTTATTTATACAAAAGTTGTTAACGATAACTTTTCATTACAAAAACCTTGTTATCGATAATTTTTCTCAATAAATATTTTTTATATATGTAAAATTTCATTGTCAAAAACTTGTTATCGATAATTTTATTTATACAAAAGTTGTTATCGATACCTTTAACTTATTGAAAAGTTGATGTCGATAACTTTTCATACAGAAAAATTTTTATCGATAACTCATCTTTATAGAAATGTCGATATCATTATCATTTCACCAAAAGTTACCGATAACGTTTATTAAGAGAAAATATGTTACCGATAATTTTTCTTTATAAAAAAATTGTTATCGATAACATTTCTCTATAGCAAAGTGGTTATCGATAACTTGTTTTGATAAAAAAATTGTCATCGATAACTTTTTTAAAAGGAAAAGTTGTTATCGATAATTTTTCTTTACATAAAAACTGTTTTCGATAACAATTTTTATTGAAAACTTGTTATCAATAGCTTTTTTTCATAAAAAAATGGTTATTGATAAATTTTTTCTATAGGAAGGTCGATACCGAAACCATTTCGCAACATATCGAAAACTTCTCTTGATCGAAAAGTTGTTATCGACAAAAATTTTTTTATTAAAAAGGTGTGATCGATAACTTTTCTTTATAGGAAAATTGTTATCGAATAATTTTATTGTTAAAAATGTTGTTATCGATAACGTTTTTAACGGAAAAGTTGTTATCGATAACTTTTCTTCAGTTAAAAACTGTTATCGATAACCATTTTTATAGAAAACTTGTTATCGATAGCTTTTTTTCATAGAAAAATGGTTATATATAACTTTTCTTCATCGAAAAGTTGTTATCGATAACTTTTCTTTAAAGAAAAGTTGTTATCGATAACTTTTCTTTATAGAAAAGTTGTTATCGATAACTTTTCTTTATAGGACAATGTTTATTGGCAACTTCTCTTTAAACAAAAGTTGTTATCGATAAATGTTCTTTATTGAGTATTCATTATCAATACTTTTTCTTTATAGAACAGTTGTTATCGATAAAATTTTCTTTATAGAAGAATTTTTTTTTTTATAGAACAGTTGTCATCGTTGTTATTTTTCTATAAAGAAAAACTGTTATCGAAAATTTTCCCATATAAAAAATATTTTCGACACTATTTCTGTATAAAAAAAATTGATATCGATAAATTTTCTTTATGGAAAAGTTGTTATCGATAAAATTTTTCTATAGAAAATTTGTCATAGACAAATTGTCTTTATAAAAAAACATGTTATCGGCTTTATCAGAAATTTGTTATCGATAACTTTTATTTATACAAAAGTTGTTATCGATAACTTTTTTCTAATTTGTCAAAAACTTGTTATCGATAACTTTTCGTTATAGAAAATTTGTCATCGATAAATTTTTTGTAGAAAATTTGTTATCGATAACTTTTCTTATAGAAAAGTTGTTATCGGTATTTTTTTAATTCGTTTTTATTAATTTTTAATATAAGTGTTGTTATTGATAACTTTTCCTTATAGAAAACTGGTTATCGATCACTTTTTTTACAGAAAAGTTATTATCGATAACTTTTTTATAGAAACGATGTTATCGATATTTTTTTTAATTTGTTTTCATTAATTTTTAATAGAATTGTTGTTATTGATAACTTTTCTTTATAGAAAACTTGTTATCGATACCTTTTCTATACAGATACATTGTTATCGATAGCTGGTTTTATAGAAAATTTGTTATCGATAATTTTTTTTTCAAATTGTTTTCATTAATTTTTTATAGAAGTGTTATTACCGATACATTTTCTTTATAGAAAAGTTTTTATCGACAAAGTTTTATTTATAAAAAGTTGTTATCGATAACCTTTCTCTATCGGAAAATTGTAATCGACAACTTTTCATTATTAGAAAATAATTATCGGTAACTATTCTTTATAAAGGAGTTGTTATCGATAACAGTTTTTTGTAGAAAATTTGTCATCGATAACTTTTTTATACAATAATTGTTATCGATTATTTTTTTTCAAATTGTTTTCATTAATTCTTTATAGAAGTGTTATTACCGATACCTTTCATTATCGACAAATTGTTATCGACAAAGTTTTATTTATAAAAAAGTCGTTATCGATAACTTTTATCTATTGGAAAATTGTAATCGACTACTTTGCTTTATTAGAAAATAATTATCGTTCACTGTTCTTTATAAAAGAGTTGTTATCGATAACTGTGTTTTGTTGAAAAGTTGTAATCGATAATTGTTTTTATAGAAAAATTGTTATCGATTATTTTTCTTCAAATTTTTTCATTAATTTTTTATAGAAGTGTTGTTTCATTAACGAGAAGTTTTCTTTATAGAGAAGTAGTTACTGAAAGGTTGTTATCGATAGCTGGTTTTATAGAAAATTTGCTATCGATAATTATTTTGAAATTGTTTTCATTAATTTTTTATAGAAGTGTTATTACCGATACTTTTTCTTTAGGGAAAAATTGAAATCGACCAACTTTTATTTATAAAAAGTTGTTATCGATAACTTTTCCCTATTGGAAAATTGTAATCGACAACTTTTCTTTATTGGAAAATAAATATCGGTAACTACTATTCATAAAAAAATTGTTATCGATAACTTTTTTCTAGAAAAATTGTTATCGATTAATTTTTTCAAATTTTTCCTATAATTTTTTTTAAAAAAGTGTTGTTAATGATACATTTTCTTTATAGAGGAGTTGTTATTGACAAGTTTTTTTTTTTTTTAATAAAAAGTTGTTATCGATAACATTTTTTAATTGGAAAATTTTAATCGACAACTCTTCTTTATAGAAAATAAATATTCTTCACAAAAGACTTATATTCGATAAATTTTCGTTACAAAAAATTATTATCGATAACTTTTCTTTCTAGAAAAGCTAGAAAATTTGTGTTCGATAACTTTTCTTGCTAGAACTGCTAGAAAATTTGCGTTCGATAACTTTTCTTAATAAGAAACATGTTATCGATAAGTTTTCGTAATGGAAAAGTGATTATCGATATCTTTCCACATGTCATCCTTTTTTTTCGTATTCCTTTTGAATAGATTTTTCTAACAACCAATTTGGGGCGTATGAGTAATATTTAATTACAAATTAATCATACCACTTGAATTAACTCCGATTTTTTCTGCCCTCAGGCCTTTTAAATTTAAAAAGAACAATAATTAAAACACTTAATTAGTTTTATGGCACTCCTGCTCTTAAATATTTATTTCACAATAAATTTATCTCACTCTTCCATTTTTTTTCTCCTTTTCTATTCTCCCGTTCTGTTGCCGTAGTTCTCGACTGTCAGGTCAGTGATTGGGGTCAATGGAGCGACTGTAATGCGTCCTGTGGTGCCGGCGTTATGACACGTTCACGCAAAGTTCTCCAGCCGGCCCAGAATGGTGGCAAACATTGTCCAACATTATTGCAGAAACGTGGCTGTCAAGGTTTTCGATGTCATGGCCATCATCGCGATAAGAAAATATTGCGGGGTAAGTAACAATTCAACAACAACAAAACCATTACAAAAATAACAACAACAACAACACCTATAATAATTAAAGCAAAGTAGAGTATTTATTTATAAAAAAAAAGGTGTCATAGAAGATTAAAACACCCCTGTGAATCCAAAGGGTGGGATCTAAGCCCTTCATCCTCCTCATCATCTTGGTGGGGAGTCGCACTACAAAATTCAAGTGGAAGATGGAAAGTTGGCACTTTTCGCCCTTTTCCAACAAAAAATTAAAAAGCCTTAATTTTCGCCTCCTTCACCACAGGCGGTTGTCATGGTGTAAAATGTAATTTTAATTAAATCTCTCTTCGGGTTTAAATTCCCGGAGAACGGCGAGGACAAAAACTATTGCTGAAAGGTTTTTTTTCCTCTGCTGAGCGCAAAGATGACGGTGGACGGAGGCTTCCCTTTTTAATGGCCACTACCGAGTTAAGCGTAAAGTAATGAAATTAAACTCAATGCCGGACAAGGATATTGACAATATTAAAATAACAAGGATTGGCGAAAATCCGATGTGACATTGAGTGGAAGAGGCGGGCGAAAAAAAACCGGAACTAACTAAAATTGACAGCAACTAAATGACATGAAAGAGAAAAAGGGATTAAAGGCCAAGAACATAATGCAAGGATGACATTGGCAATATTTTTCATAGCGAAATTTTGTCAAACAAAAAAATCAGGTGTTATCGGTTACCATTTTTTTATAAAAAAAAACTGTTATTGAAAAATGTCTTTGATAGAAAATTTGTTATCGAAAAATTTTTTCCATAGAAAAATTGTTATCGGCAAATTTTTTCCTTAAAATAGTTGTAATCGCTAATTTTTTCTAAAGAAAACTTGTTACCGATAAAAATTTTCCCATAGAAAAATAGTTATCGGCAACCTTTGCTCATTATCGATAAATGTCTTTGATAGAAAAATTGCTATCAAAAACTTTTTTCCATAGAAGAATTGTTAGCGACAATTTTTTTCCATAAAAAAGTTGCTATCGATAATTTTTTCTAAAGTAAACTTGTTACCAATAAAAAATTTCCCATAGAAAAATTGTTATCGATAACTTTTGCTCATAGAAAAATTATTATCCAAAACGTTTTTCCATAACTTTTTCATTGAAAAATTGCAAACCTTCAGTTTTTTCATAGAAAAATTTTAATCGATAACTTTTATATAGACAATTTTTTATCGATAATTTTTTCCATAGAAAAATTTTTATCGATAACTTTTCCAGAGATAAATTGTTATCGATAATATTTTTCAAAGAAGTGTTGTTATCTATAGATTTTTCTTGTAGAAAAATTGATATTTTTCCATGAAAAATTGTTATAGTCAACTGTTTTGCAAAGGAAAAAATTAATCGATTAATTACTTCCATCGGAAAATTGTTATGTATAAAAAGAAAATGGTGATCGATAGCATTTTTCCATAGACGTTTCTTCATTGAAAAATTGCTAACGATAAGATTTTTTTTCTTAGAAATGTTGTTATCGATAATTTGTTCAATAGAAAATTGTTTATCGGTGACTGTTTTTCATAGAGAAATTGTTATCGATAATTTATTTTCATAGAAAAATTGTTATCGACAATATTTTTCAAAGAAATGTTTTTATCGAAAACTTTTTTCGATAACTTTTATCGATAAATATATATTTATTTCTTTCGATAATTGTTATCGATATATAAATATTTATTTATTTTTTTAAATGTTGTTATCAATGATTTGTTCAATAGAAAATTGTTTATCGGTGACTGCATTACATAGAGAAATTGTTATCGATAATTTATTTTTATCGACAATACTTTTCAAAGAAATGTTTTTATCGATAACTTTTTTTCGATAAATAAATATTTATTTATTTTTTTTTTTTTTTTTTGATAATTTTTATCGATAAATATATATATTTATTTTTTCGATAATTGTTATCAATATATAAATACTTATTTTTTTTTGTGATAATTTTTATCGATAAATATTTTTCTATAGAAATTTTGCTATCGATAACTTTTTTCCATAGAAAATTTGCTATCGATGTTTCTTTTCATTCATATATAACTTTTTCTATAAAAATGTTGTTATCGATAATTTTTTCCATAGAAAAATAGCTATCGATAATTTTTGTCTATAAATAAATATTAATTTTTTTTATTTTAAAGTAGCTATCGATATTATTATCGATAAATAAATCAAATAAATATTTATTTTTTTCAATAATTTTTATCGATAAATAAATATTTATTTTTTTTCGATAATTTTTATCGATAAATAAATTTTTATCGATAACTTGTTTCCTGAGAAATTTTGTTATCGATAACTTTTTTCCATGGAAAAGTTGCTATCGAAAATTTGTTTCTTTCATAAAATAACACTTTCTATAGAAATGTTGTTATAGATAATTTTTACCATAGGGAAATTTTTATCGATAAAGGTCTAACATAGAGAATTTGTTATCAATAACTTTTTTCGATATAAAAAATGATATCGACAACTTTTTGGCCTTGAAAAAATGTTATCGATATTAATCTTACTATGGCAAAAATTCTCTCTATAACATTTCTATGGAAGACAATTATCGATAAAATTTTTCTGTGAAAAAAAAAACGTATCAATAACTATTTTTCTATGTACAACAAGCTTTCTATGGGGAAAAAGTTATCGACAACAATATTTCTATAAAAAATATTATCGACAACAAATTTTGTATGGGGAAAAGTTATCGATAACAATTTTTCTATGGATAAAATATATCGATACCAATCTTCAAACTTATTAATAGCAATTTATTTATAGGAACAAGTTATCGATAACAATTTTGGCTATTAGAAAAAGTTGTCAATAACTATTTTTATATGAAAGACAGTTAACGAGAATAATCTTTCTATAGAAAAATTCCATCGATAGAGACATTTTTATGGAAAAACTATCGGTAATAATATCTAAAAACTTATCGATAACAATTTTCCTATGGTACAAAGTTGTCTACGACAATTTTTCTATCGGAAAAACTTATCGATAAAAACATTTTTATAGGAAGAAGTTAACGATAGCAATTTTCTATGAAAAAAATATCGATAACAAATTTGTTTTATGGTAAAAAGTTATCGATAACATTTTTTCTTTGGAAAAAAGTTTTCGATAAGAATTTTCTTATTTAAGACAGTTATCGATAACGATTTTGCAATAAAAATTTTCATATTTAAGTCAGTTATCGATAACATTTTCCCGTAAAGAATGTTATGGATAACATCAGTTCTAACGAAAAAAGTTGTCGATAACAATATTCTACCGAAAAAAAGTTACCAATAACATTTTTTATATCGAAAAAAGTTATCGATAACAAATTTTCTGTGGAAGAGCATTGTCGATAACAATTTCCCTATGGAAAAAATTATCGATAACAACATTTTTATAGAATGCGTTTTTTAAGAAAGAAAAAAAATTACCGATAGCAACTTTTTTATGGAAAAAATTTATCGATAACAAAATTTCTATGGAAAAAAGTTATCGGTAAAAATGTATTTATAGATAAAATTTATCGATAGTTCCTTTTTTCAGTAGAAGATTGTTATCGACAACTTTTTTCTGTAGAAATTTTGTTATAGATAACTTTTTCCATAGAAAAGTAGCTATCGATAATTTTTGTCAATAAATAAATTTTTATTTTTTTTAAAGTAGCTATTGATAATTTTTATCGATAAATACATTTTTATCGAAAAAATTTTCCCTAGAAATTTTGTTATCGATAACTTATTTTGCATAGAAAAGTTGCTATCGATAATTTGTTTCTTTCATAAAAAACACTTTCTATAGAAATGTTGTTATCGATCATTTTTTCCATAGGAAAATTGTTATCGATAATGCTCTTCCACAGCGAATTTGTTATCGATAACTTTTTTTCCATATAAAAAATGATATTGGTAACATTTTTTAGTAGAGGATTGTTATCGACAACTTTTCTCTGTAGAAATGTTGTTATCGATAACTTTTTTCCATAGAAAAGTAGCTATCGATAATTTTTGTCGATTAATAAATTTTTATTTTTTTTTTTTTATTTGAAAGGAACTATCGATAAATTTTATCTATAAATACATTTTTCCGATAACTTTGTTCCATAGAAATTTTGTTATCGATAACTTTTTTCCATAGAAAAGTTGCTATCGGTAAATTTTTTCTTTCATAAAAAACGCTTTCTATAAAAATGTTGTTATCGATAATTTTTTCCATAGGGAAATTGTTATCGACAATGCTCTTCCACAGAAAATTTTTTATCGATAACTTTTTTCGATATAAAAAATGTTATTGGTAACTTTTTTCGGTAGAAGATTGTTATCGACAACTTTTTTCCTTAGAAATGATGTTATCCATAGCTTTCTTTACGGGAAAATGTTATCGATAACTAACTTAAATAGGAAAATTGTTGTTGGTACATCTTCCCCATAGAAAAATCGTTATCGATAACTGTCTTAAATAAGAAAATTCTCATCGAAAACTTTTTTCAAAAGAAAAATTGTTATCGATAACTTTTTACCATAACACAAATTTGTTATCGATAACTTGTTTTCATGGAAAAATTGTTATCGATAGCTGTCCTCAATAGAAAAATTGTTATCGTTAATCTCTCCCCATAGACATGTTTTTATCCATAACTTTTTCCCCAAAAAAAATGCTGTCGACAACTTTTTTCCACAGAAAAATTTTTATCGATAACTGTCTTAAATAGAAAATTTGTTATCGATAACTTTTTTCAAAATACAAAAAAAAATATTGATAACTTTTATCACTAGAAAACCTTCTATCGATAACTTTTTTCCTTAGAAATGATGTTATTGATAGCTCTCTTCACATGAAAATTGTATCGATAACAGTCTTAAATACGAAATTTTTTATCGATGACATTTTTCTTTTGTCGATAGAAGATTTTCTATTGACAAAAGTCATCAATAAAATTTTTATTTATCTTAAATAAGAAAATTGTTATCGAAAACT